CAAATACCTCATAATTTTTTTTAATGTGTGGCTTAAGTAACTAAGTATAGAAAGAAAACAGTCCGTGATTTCATGAGCCCTTAGCAGTTGGTCCTGAGGTTGATGTTCCCGATGCTCTAGTAAGTCACACTTAGAAAACGCTGGGGTTTGTTGTTGCTGTGGAGTTGCTTTGGTTTTTCAGGACAGGGTTTCTCTCTGTAGACCTGGTTATCCTGGAACTTGTGTAGACCAGGCTGGCCTCGAACTCACAGAGATCCGCCTGCCTCTGCCTCCCGAGTGCTGGGATTAAAGGCGTGTGCTTGTCCCCACCCAGCTGAGGAGGCTGTTTTTAGCTGTTCAGCCCCATTCATCTTTTGCTCACTGCACTTAGTCTTGAAGTGATATTCTTTAATGCCCAGGGTGTTTGGAAAGTTTCATTCTGTGTGTTAGGCACTGGGTATACATCTTAATTCCCATGGTATTTGAGGAATAAGCAACTGTGTGGCTGATTTGCATTTTATAAAGAGAAGGGCTTTTTATAAGACAGCTGGGCTCTGACCTGTGCCCTGGAGGCTAGAGAAACATCTTGTCTTACCTCTTCCACATCTGCAGAGCTGCGGGCTCGCAGAGGAAACCCAAATGCTGCCAGGTTCTTCGCATCCAGCTTCCTGCTGGGAGGTGGGCCCCTAGAGTTGGCTCTCCTGTTGCCTTCTGCCTGAGGTGGGCACTACAGGTGCCGCACCCCCGCCTCAGGAGCTCCGAGGCCAGTAGATTTGTGTTGAATGGTAATTTAAGTCATGGTGCCACAAGAGTTTAAATGTTTTGACGTGTGACCGCCTCTCATCTTTTTTCCCTGTAATAAGATCCTCTGCTGAAGAATCTATCCCAGGAAATCATAGAATTACTCAGAAAGCTGGTTGGACTCGAGAGCTTCTCCTTGGCCTTTGCCTCTGTGCAGAAGCAGGCTAGTGAAAAGAGGGCGCTCCGGAAGAAGAGGAAGGCCCTGGAGGTGAGTGAGGCGGCTGCTGTGGCTGTGGCGGGGCCACAGGTATAATTAGTGCTAGGAGTGCTGTGCACACGTGTGCTACTCTTCCCCAGGGGCAGGAGGAGGGCTGGAGAGGAGAGGGATTGTCACTAATGACATCTCAGCATTCGATTTGGATTCTTTTCATGTGTACCGCAAAAGTAATGAAAGATCTCTGCTTTCTCTTCAAGTTTGTGACCAATCCTGATATCGCTGCCAAGAAAAAGTTGAAGAAACATAAAAATAAAAGTGAAGCAAAGAAAAGAAAGATAGAGTTCCTGCGCCCGGGCTATAAGGCCAAGAGACAAAAATCCCACAGCCTGAGAGATTTAGCAATAGTGGAGTGAGGTCTCCCTGTGTGCATACCAGTAACTCACACTCTCTCAACTGGGGTGAAAACCTGAACTTCCGGCTTCATTCTCCTGGACTGAATACCCAGCAGATTGTTTCTAAGTTAAACTTTGAAAGGTTTGTGTGGCTTCACACCTGTAATCTCTGCACTTGGAAGGCTGAGGCAGGAGGATTTCTTCATGTTTGAGGCCCACCTGTGAGTTTCAGGCCAGCTGGACTACTGAGAACAGGTCTCAACGAAAAGAAAATGAGTTCAACTTTGGCATAGATTTGTAATGTATATTTTAATGTAATCATGCTTGTATTTTTTAAATTAAAAAGTTTAATATCCTACTCCTGTATCTTTGTCTAAAAAGTATATGATACTAAATGACATGGTTTAAAGCTTAGCTTTTTCACAAAAAGATTGTTTAAAATGGGGAAAACCTGGTGTGTGTGTGTGTGTGTGTGTGTGTGTGTGTGTGTGTGTACATACACACACACATATATACATGCAAAAAAGGAGATATTAGGAATAAATAAATAAAACAAAGTATTTATAATAATATCAGAAGGCATTGAGAAGTCTGTGCAAACAGAAAGATATAGCCATGCTGATGGATTAGTATAAAATGCTCTTTTCCCAAACTCATCCCATTGGTTGACTACATAGGGGAGCAAAACCCCAAAAATTCATGTTAAGCTAATTAATAAAGCCAGTTCTGAAATTTACATGGAAGACAAGACAATGAACCAACAAAGCAAGATGCCTTTAGAAAAGGATGAAGTCTCAAAGACATACAAATGCTGTCGGCAGCGGAACGTGGGCATTTCTACTGCATGGAAGAGGAGCTTTCCTTCCCGTGGCTCAGGGGTCAGGAGCAGCTGCTGCTCTTCCCAGGACTCCAGTTCACTTCCCAGCACCCATGGCGGACAGCTCACAGCCATGCCACTCCAGCTCCAGGGCATCTGATGCCCTCTCCTGGTCCCTGAGGACCCTTGCGCTAACATGCCATATGTGCACATACACAAAAATAAAAGGTTTTGTTTTAAAGGTGCTTCTACAGAGGTGCATGCTGGGATATGGCATACTCCATATACCACTGTTCAAGGATTTGCTTCCCGAATATGTAATGAGTAAACTATGGATGAGCTGGTGATCCTATAGAAAACGTGGCAAAAGAGGGGGTCCACAGAGGAGAAGCAGAAACGATCCTTACCGTTAACTGCCAGCTGATAATGGCTGTACCAGTGCCTTAGAACTTACATGCTAGTTGGTAAGTAATCATTGCCTTTAGCCTCACCACCAACGGCCACCGTGGGTCATGAGTGAGTTCCTTCACTGTCACCCCCCATATAATAAAGGAGTATTTCCTAGCCAAACTGGTAGGAGGAAATTCTGTTAGGAACCTACGTTTGATGAGGTTGACCATTAGGTGTTAGGTACCTAGTGGAGCAATAGAAGTCAGCACATTGGAAAACAGCTTGGCATTAACTATGAACTTGAAGATGAGTGTGCTTCCAGTCCAGTAACCCACTATTTAGAGAAACTTAGAGCCACGGTACCACAGACAGGAGTTACACACGAAAATAGATGAATAGAGGCATATTCGTTCACAGAAACACAGTAGAGAAAAATGAGCTAGTTACATCAATATAGGCAAGTGCTAGAAACTGTTAGCCAGGGAAAGCAAGTCAGAAAAATAGAGTGACACTGTGTTATAATAAACTTAAGAATCTGAACATGTGCACATACACTATATGATGAAGCCATTCTTGTTATCCATACATACGTCACACACGGATAACGAGAAGGATGTCAGTGTTTAAAGATAGTCCTGAGAAGGAACACAATTTAAACCCTTAGTGTTGGTGGCAGAGGTCTTAAATTGTCCTAGCAATACTCATGAGATTTGGAGTTCCAGGTTTTCATGTTTTGCTTATATGCAAATGCCTCAATTTAAATGTGGCAAACAACAAGAAACAAATATTAGTATATGCTTTCCCTGAAACTACCAGTTGATTCTAAGGTCGAATATACATAAGTCTACAGTGACTCACATTTGAAGGAAACTTTTTAGTTGTCCAGCCACATCATTTGCTCATCACACTCAACGTTGTCGCGATCTTCAGTGCTCAGTGTATTTGTAAAACAGTCCACCATGTGTGTTAGGTACTTGGCAAACATCCAAATTCTGATACTATCTCTGAGATACAAAATTGTTTCTATTTTATAGATGAAACAGACTCAGTAAATAACCTAAGGAGATGTGAAATGTAGAACCAAGATTCAAAACACTTCCCTTACAGAGCTTCTTACACACACAGACATTCTAGTATTCAGATTTACTTTGTAAACATCAGCATTGGAACTCAGGATATATCCTAGCCTATATGTGATAAATCAACAGAATCATGATCAGATTGAGGTGGTGGGTGCTGTGTGCCTGCCACACCATTTTTCCAGGGTTCCAGAATCATAGGGGAGTACTTAACGCCTTAAGAATAAACCTAGTAACTCCGTATGTGCTATTGCCATTGGCCAGAAGGAAACTATACATTGCAGCGCCTCTTTTCTAGCTGACAGATATAATCCTATGTCGACTTTAGACTTTTTTGCGTGGTATAAGGGTGTGAGGGATGCTCTTGTCTGTGTGGGCAGATGTGAAGGTCAGAGGGTGACTAGAGTTTCATCTAGTACTCCATCTTGTTTCTGAGATAAAGGTCTCAGTGCTGGACTCTGCCATTTCACTAGACTGGCCCCAAGCACTGAGGTTCAAGACATGCCTGGCATTTTACATGCTTGCTGGGTATCAAACCTCATGCTTGCATAGCAAAGTGAACCCATGGAGTCACCTCCCCAGCCTTAAGTATGAATATATTCCAATGAAAGCGGATGTCCACGTATATGGGTACTGAAGTCTATGAAAACAAAACTTGTTTTTGTTTTGTTGTGTTGGAAATAATGGTGCCTAGAGGAAGAAGGCCCCTAAAAAACCTTCAACAAAATCATCGGGCCGGGCGGTGGTGGCGCACACCTTTAATCCCAGCACTCAGGAGGCAGAGGCAGGCGATTGAGGCCAGCCTGGGCTACCAAGTGAGTCCCAGGAAAGGCGCAAAGCTACACAGAGAAACCCTGTCTCGAGAAAAAAAAAAAAAAAAAAATCAAACTAAATAGAAGCAGGAACAAAAAGGTTATGAATCCCAAGCTGGCCATGACAGTAAGCAGCCACAACCTCAGCACCCCCAGACATGAGAATCACTGGGAGTTTGAGGCCAGCTTGGGCTAGCTCCAAAAAATAAAAATCCCTCTGGAGCAAAGTGCATTCCTTCACTCAACCCCACAAAATGACCATAGATGGGAGGGAGGCTAGAGCCCACATGTCTAGCAATGTCTGATTTTCAAATGCCAGTCGTCCATGTTGGCAAGGACTCCCAATGTTAGTAATACTGTGTATTACACTACTGTCACACTGCTGCTAAGTGCGTGCTGGATGATTAGCTTGGGAAAGCTCCTCTGAAGACCATTTTAAGCCTGCAGTTAGGCCTAATTTTTAAAACTAGGAATATTTAATTTTTTGCTATAGAACCAGTATAAGATTATTTTTAACCAATTTAATACTGAAAAAAGGTAAATGAATGGAAGACAGTAAAGACATCTTGTTAATACTTATTAAAATTACTTTTTATTTCCTTTCATGTTATGTTTTTTATTGTGTTGTGAACTCATTAAATACAGCCATTTGGATCATTTTGACTGTATCATTTATCATTTTACTAGCATAGACAAGAGTTTATATAAACATTGCTTTGAATGTCTGTAACTACTTTAGCATAATTTTTTTGTTATTTTTGTTTTGAGACACAGCCTCAAGCAGCTCAGGCTGGCCTCAGATTCACCACAAAGCTGAGGCTAGCCTTGAACTCTTGGTCCTCCTGCCTGTCCCGAGTCCTAGGATTGCAGGTGTGTGCCACCACACCTGGGTGTGTGCATTCCCATGTTGGTATTTCCAGATACAGTAGGACTTATAACACAAATTTCTGACCCAGAAGCCTGACTCTGGACTCTACCTCACCTCAGTATATAGGGCCTGGCCAAGCAACACAGCAGAACCTTGCTCTTCTCACAGGGTTCCTGGTACAATGTTCAGATCAACATATATAAAATTCTTGGACAAGTATAAAGTATTGTAAAATAATGTAAGTCAGTAAAGTGAGCCAACAAAATACTTCTCATGCCTATAACCAAAAACTCTTTAAGTGGAATAGCTTATATAAACTAGTCAGTTAGGCAAGTGATGATTATATTATACACACTATTTCTAATCTACTTTGCTAAGACTAATCTTTGGAAAGCCTTAATTCATTTTAAGGGAGAAAAAGTCTGAGCTAAATATTAGTGTTCATACAAACAAAATGCAACCACTAATTTAAAAATAGGAGGGTTCCCCCCAAGAGTGTACATTCTTTAATAGAATTGTATTTGTGTAAGAATTCCATACAAATAGAATATATACCTTAACACAAGAAAGCAAGGAAGACTATTTTACATTACATAAACCATCTGGGTGATTCAATCAAGCTAACCCTCTTGCCAAATACTTGTTTTTTATATTTATTACAAATAGTGGAGTCAGTTCTGTACAGCCTGCAATCACACAGTCCTAACAGTCAGAGAAGCACATCCAGCTGATTCCAGTGAGGATGGGACGTAGCGTTGGGTTCACAGGAACTGATGTGAGTGGACTTACTGTCTACTTTTCAGTGTTTCCACTAACCTGCAGAGAGAAAATGCAATAGTTAACAAAACCAACGTCCAGGTATAAAGCATGAACATTTACAATATAAATTTCACAATTAAGATTACAAATATTAACACAGATTAAAGAAAAAGCCCAAGTATCTATTGATTTTTCTTTCTATTTATGTTTTTCTTTTTTGAGACAGGCTAACCTTGAACTCACCACAGAGCCATAGGTGGCCTTAAATTCCTGACCCTCTTGCCTCTGCCTCCAAAGTGTTGATATCATAGGCAGGCACCATCAAATGAGTCTCAGGTATCTATAGTCTGCTATTACTGCTGGGATGTATGCATGCACAGTTCAGAGGTAGAAACTGACCTCTATTCTCAAGCATCTGGAGAAGACACACCTACTGAACAATTACAGACTAATGGACAAGCACGTGTCACTGGTCTGTGACAAGGGCACATAACTTCACGTGTGTGGTCAGACAGTGGGATCACAGATGATGCAGATCTTTTCGGGGGAGGAAGAGAGTTGCAGCAGGGTCCCACTCTGTAGCCTCAGCTGGTCTTGCTAAGCAGACCAGACTGGCCTCAAACCCATAGTGATCCTCCTGCATGTGCCTCCTGAGTGCTGGTATAAAGGAATGAGCTATCACCATGCCTGTCAAGCCTCTTCTTGACAAGAAGCAAGCCTTATCCTAATTCCTGAAGGCCTCGGAACTGGAAGGGGACGTAAAGCAGAGGGGCAGCTTACCTAGTATTAGCAGTTATGTGAGTGTGGCTGGAATGAAGACGTTTACTCAGGAAGACAATGGGAGAAAAAGCTGGAAGAGGTGTTTATTCTATCTATCTAAAAGCTGCTATCTAAATGTCATCCCCAAGAAAATCAGCACTGCATCATAGGCCAGTGTGGTAATGCACACAGGTCTGGTCCCTGCACTAAGGAGGGCTGAAGCAGGATCAGAACCTGGGCTGTACAACAAGACACTGTCTGGGGGAAAATAAAAACTATCCTATAGGAAGCTCGCCATATGCACGAGCAGCTGGCTTCAAACAGACACTCACCATTCCATCGCCTCATCAAGGCCAGTGCCTTTGGTTGCGGATGTTTTAAATATCTGCCACTTTCGGTCTTTCAGAGCAGGTAACCCAAGTGCATTGGCCATTTCTGAGGGTGTCATGGCCTGCTCCATGTCCTGCTTGTTTGCAAACACCACTAAAATGGCCTTTCTCAGCTCTTCTTCCTAAATAAAATGGAAGGAAATAATAAATTAAAAAAATAAAGGAAAAATCCTTTCATCAGTTTGTACCCTTGAATTGGGAAAAAACACCAACATTAAACTGTGTTGAAGAGAGTGTGCTGGTGCATCCGTACTCCTGTGAACATCTCTAACGAAATGCACTGGGTCACAGAAAAAAGACAAGAACACGGAAGGAAGGCCCGCTGGGAGGAAGGGGCTGGTGGAGTGAGAGGAGAACCAGAGAAGATAAGGGAGTACACATAAACAAACACAGTGTGTACACGCACGTAGGGCAATGGAAAGAAACCCACTGCTGGGTACAGCTGGCGCGTACTAAGGAGACAGACGCATCCAACCACACCAGAGAAAGAAAAAGGACAAGGATGGCAGTCTTGAACTTGGAAGTCCAGGGCAATCAGTAAAGTCCGAGGCTAGCCTGAGGACATGGCAAACAAGTTAAGGTCAGCGGGGGCTAAAAGCAAAATCTTATCTCAGAAAAAAACAGGACCACTAATCAATCCTGATTTCCAGTCAGTCCTGATTTCCTATCTTATTTGTTGGTATTTTTAGCACACCTGAATTTTGAGGGTTTTGAGTTGCAATTAAACCTTTTTGTAAATCCTCCCACTGTTTCAGAAAGGCTTTCCCAACCCAGGTATCTCAGGCTTATGCACCTACACATTCATGTAGCTAATTTCTGTATTTTACACATATTTCATTTGGAATGTATTTATGTACACAAAGAAGGTAAGAACCTAGTGCTCTGTGTGTGTGTTTTAATGTGAACAGTACAAACTGGCACTAGACCTACACTTCACATAACAGTGTCTGCTGATGGACACAAAAGCTACTTCCTAACAACGTGACTCCCAGTCCTTACTCTGTAAGGTTTTGTGTTCTCCAGAGTGAGCTAGGGAAGCACTCCGGTGAGTTACACCCCACCTTCCCCACCTTGGTTTTGAGTAAGTCTTTGAACTGTGTAGTCCAGGATGGTCTTGTCTCATGATCCTCCTCCTCTGCCTCCCAAGTACTAGAATAGAAGCATGTACCTGTAATTACAGGCCCATCTCTGTAAGATTTCATAAACCAAACCCTTATGTTGCAAATGACTCCTAACAATCTTGCACAACTCCAGAATTATAAATTAAAGTTAATTATCAGTCTCTCCAAAATAATACTCTATATAATGTGAACCAGGCCTAAATAAAGCTGCTGTTTTAAAAATCCATTATATGTAACAGTGGTCAATAATGGAAACCGGCCGTGAGAGTTAAAGAGAACAAGAGGTGTAAGGGGGTCCCAGGCATCCACTGGCCCCCACTCGAGTGTTGAGGGGGCTCAGGGGGCGTGGCCTGAGGGACAAAGGTAAGTGGGGGGGGCGGCCTTTAAGAGGAAGTGAGGTGTGTTCTCTCAGGTTCCCGCTGCAGTTGACGCTGTGAGCCCTCAGCTTCCTGCCTCTGCTGCCATGCCTTCCCCCCCCAGCGTCACGGACTCTAATCTACCGTCTGGACCCTCCTGTACGGGGGCTCCGCTGTGCTGCCGCACCCCAGCGGCAGAGGAGCCAGAACCGGTACTTAAGCATCAATTAGCTGGGTAAGGTGGAACTGTAGAAAAAGGAAGAGCCACTTCATCTTCTAAAGCAAATGCTACTGGGCTGTTATTAATGAATCGAAGCATGTTTACTTGAGTCTTTTGTTTAACGAATGCTCTAAATTTGATGATCTCAGTAAATGTATTGAGTTTTTGAGCTAGAGACACAGCTAAGGGGTAGAACTCTTGCTTAGCATGTACACGGCTCTGAGTTCAACCCCCAATACCATTTAAAAAAAAAAAAAAAAAAA